CTCTCTCCCGGCGGCGCAGGCTTTGGGCGGCTCTTTTGTTTCTCGCGTTACACTCGGAGAAGGAAGGGGTGCAAGCCACGGACTTCCGTCTGCTTCCCTATCCGCGCCCCAGCGCGCCCCGCCGCGCCCCGCGCCGTTCCTTCCAAGTTTGGGAACCTGTCACCAACCCCCGGCGCCTGGGCCTAGGCAGCCTAGGCCTCCAAGGCCCCCGAGCACGCCCGCCAGTCCCCTCCGGAGCAGAAGTGGCGCCAACTGTTACAAGGATCACCCCAGGGGTGTGGGGTGGGTGGGGGGCGCATGGGAGGATCTTCGCTACCCGACCCGGTCGTAGGACCTGGTCGGTTTCTGAGGCAGTAGCGGGCAGTGGCAGTAGTGTCTGGAATTCGAATACCGGCTCTCTGTGAATCCATTTCCCCCCTCACTTCTCGATCTCATCCCTTCTAACTTCACTGGGAATGTGAATACCGTGAAGTGTGTACTGCCAACACTGATCGTTGTTGTTGAGATGAGCAGCTTCTCATACTACATTTAAAGGAGTATAAGTCTTACATGAGCAATAGCAGTATATCTGAATGTGCGTTAGTTGGTAACACTGGTTATGCATGAGTTGGTATCTCGGAGAGAGTGTCTATCGGGCACGTTGGGCATTCCCTTTCATCAGCCCAATTAGCGTCGGTTCTGGAACGGACCGTTCAATAATGGGCTGGCGTCACTCTTTTTTGGACGCCACCCTGTGTGGTTGTGTTGTATTGAACCTATCGTGAATACAGATTTGAGTTCCAATTCCATCCAATGCCCATATTTCAATAGTTGTGCTTTTTTGTTTGTGTTGCAGGCTGAGATCTGGAGCGTGTTCATCGCCATCCTGAGGAAGAGCGTGCGCAACCTGCAGGCGTGCACTGATGTGGGGCTCATCGAACACGTGTTGCACCGGCTGCAGGCGGCCGAGCCCGTCGTCGCAGGTCAGTGCCCAAGCAAGGGACGCTCAGCGCCAGCGCTCACCCGCCTTTTACTGTTATTAAAAAAATAAAAAGTGTGGGAAGATGTCTGGTAAAGAGGCTGTGCCACATGACTTAAGAGGGAGGAGGTGAAAATATTTGGGGGTCGCAGAAGGATCCGGCCGGACGGTCATTGGAGTCCATAGGGACTAGGGACCCCATGATATTTTTATCATAGGTTGCAGGTATCATGGGAGTCCTATCGACTTGAATGACCGGTCTCGTCCTATTTTTGGACCTCGTAATATCTTACCGCCCCTCTCCCCCAAAGGTCAAATAGTATCTGCACGACCCTTTAGCGGCCAGACCCACCCTTAGCGAAGGATCCTCCTGTGGACGGGAGGTTCAGTGAGTGGGGTCGGGGTTGAGGGTGTGGTAGGGTTAACGGGTGCCTGCTCGCCGGGTAGTGCCGAGTGTGCAGCTCATTTTTTGCTCGCCCAGAGGGGAGACACGACGGTGTGTTTGGACGCGAAGTGCTGCTGCTTGCCAGCAAAAAGGAAAGGGAAAGAGTTCGGGCGAGAGGGGAGAAAAGAGTAAGGGGCGCCTGCCTGCCCCGTGCTGCCAGTGCAGCGAAAGTGAAAAGATGGGAGTATATGGCTCTTGGTTAAAGAAGTGGGTCTTAAAAGAAATAGGAATTAAAGAGGAAAAAGTTGAAATTCCATAGTCATATTTTTGAAATGAATCAGTAAAAAAATAAGTGTCAAACTATTTGTCCCCTCTTTTTAACAGATTATTTTACTCTGTTTTTGTTTCAGACCTTTTGATAGAGATGCTAGGAGTCTTAGCTTCATACAGTATAACTGTCAAGGAACTGAAGTTATTATTTGGTGCAATGAAAGCAGTAAATGGCAAATGGGTAAGTATTCCGTTTACAACTATGAAATTGTTATTACTTTTCCTCTCTCTCAAAAAAATGTTTTCTCTTTGTTTTTACAAATCAGCCAAGACATTCTGCAAAGCTTTTGAATGTCCTTAGACAAACACCTCAGAGAAACGGTCCTGATGTGTTTTTCAGTTTTCCTGGTAGAAAGGGTTCAGTAAGTATTTGTAATGCAAGTAATAATAATTTAATCTGAAACGTCTGTCATGCATTCACGAATATTTCACTTTCAGGCCGTTGTACTTCCACCTTTAGCAAAATGGCCATATGAAAATGGTTTTACATTTACCACGTGGTTCAGGCTCGACCCTATTAACTCTGTCAACATAGAGCGGGAGAAGCCATATCTTTATTGGTGACTAATTTTTTTTTATACTAAATGCTACTATGTACTGTACTTCTAACCAATAATGTTTCCATTACTTCTGTACCTATTTTTAGTTTCAAAACAAGTAAAGGAGTGGGCTACTCGGCACATTTTGTTGGAAATTGCTTAGTTCTCACTTCTATGAAAGTCAAAGGAAAGGGCTTCCAGCATTGTGTCAAATATGAATTTCAACCTAGAAAGGTATGTATTTATTGACAGTTCTAAAAGTGGCTCATATGTATATGATCCATTTTAACAGAAGGTAACAATTTTCAAAATGGTAACAATAAATACATTTTGTTTTACTATTTTAACAGTGGTACATGATAGCTGTTGTATATATTTATAACCGATGGACCAAAAGTGAAATCAAGTGTTTGGTGAATGGACAACTTGCCTCAAGCACTGAAATGGCATGGTTTGTTTCAACAAATGATGTTTTTGATAAATGCTATATTGGCGCAACACCAGAGTTGGATGAGGAGAGAGTATTCTGCGGACAAATGTCTGCTATTTATGTGTTTAGTGAAGCATTATCAACTCATCAAATTTGTGCCATGCATAGACTTGGTCCTAGTTACAAAGTAAGTTTTTTTTTTTTTTTTAATGTATTTTTGGGATGATGTGTATATACAGCTGACTAATAAATGGTTTTTATTTTCCAATTAGAGCCAATTTCGGTTTGATAACGAATGCAATCTAAACCTCCCAGACAATCATCGAAGGGTGAGTGAGTGGGGTGACTTAGAACATGAGCTTGAGGCACCAGAATCAGCTCATAACCCGCAGAGCTCTGAGGCTCCTCAATGCATGACCGAGCAATGGCTGCGTACAGTAAGCATGCTTTAGTTTTGTATTTTGTCTGGTTTCTCTCTCTTATTGTATTATTTCATGAACCAACTTCAAAATTTGAAGTAACTTTGCAGTTCAGTTTGAATTACATGTCAGTTATCGATTTAAAGTTAAAATCTAATCTGATAAGGGAAGCAATGAATTAGGAATCTTTGTGTCCCCCAAGAGCAGAGTATATTCCTGCTACCATATGTGAGTTTTTCAATTTTATAAAATTTTTGGAAGGTTTTGAGGATTTCCAACTTTTATTTTGATGGAAGTGCCTGAGACACTAAAACTACCAAATATATGATTTGGAAAAGTTTGGGATTCGATGTTGAAATTTGCGGCACGCTTGGCTTACTTCAAATAACACTGTTACCTTCATTTGTGGTATAATCAGTAGATTTTCAGATTTGACTTTGGTATTTGCTGTAGGTAGTACTTTTGCAAGGTATTTTAATTGTAAAGCATATATGGTAGTTTGTGTAGCAGTAAAATACATATTAGCTGTGGTGTAGTTAGAATGTGAGTTGTCGGTACCATATCAATACACCAATACCTTCACTGTTGCGTGTTTGTGTATGCATTATGTGATACTGTTATAATTCCATTACAGTTATTCTTTTGTATTGTTTTCCTCATAGCATTCAATGAGGTATCTAGCTTTATTGACACCTGCTTTGTTGTAGTTGAATGTAGTATCTAGATAGATAGCTAGCGACTTAAATTGGATTTTTGTTTTGTTTTTTGAAATAATACAGCAATTTTCTGTTTCAATTTGATTGTTCATTTGAAGTAATCAAAGCAAATACGATTTGACTAATGGTTCTCTATGCCCCCCAGGTTCTATATGATGGAAAACTATCAAGTGCAATAGTATTTATGTACAATCCTGTGGCGACAGACAGTCAGTTGTGCCTTCAGTCAGCTCCCAAGGGCAACCAGTCATTTTTTGTGCACACTCCTCATGCGCTTATGCTACAGGTATGTTTGATTTCTATTGTAATTTTCATAGTTGTATTGTAGGTATCCTGTCAATTTTTACTTTTAAGTTTCCTATTCTTTACCATGTTTTTGTTTCTTTACAGGATGTCAAAGCTGTCATTACTCACTCAATTCACTCCACGCTCAATTCAATTGGAGGAATTCAAGTGCTTTTCCCATTATTTTCACAATTAGATTTGCCATATGATTCACCTCTAGGATCTCAAGATACTAAAAGAGATTTGCAATTATGGTATGAAACTATGTATTTGTCTATGTATGACTTAAATATCCCTTTTCAGTTCTGAAAAGTAAAGAATAAATGTAGGCATGGTAGTGAATTTACCTATTTACCAATTTATCTAATTTGATGTCTTCTGTTTTAGCTCAAAACTGCTCGGATTTATTTGTGAATTAGTAGAAAGCTCAGCTACAGTCCAGCAACATATGATACAGAATAGAGGCTTTCTTGTTATAAGTTTAATGCTGCAGCGTTCAAACAGGGATCACCTTACCACAGAGGTGTTATTATCATTTCTAGCTCTAACAAAACACTTAGTAACTTGCCTCACGCCCAACAGTGAATTACTTTTGAAGCAGGTTTGTAAATTTATTTTCTGATCTATAATTTGAAAGGAGTTACAAGAATCTAAAGCTGCTTCTCTCTGTTTCTAGTTGTTGGATCATGTACTTTTCAACCCAGCCCTATGGATCTACACACCAGCAAATGTTCAAACCCGACTTTATTCTTACCTTGCATCAGAATTTTTGTCTGACACTGGCATATATTCAAATGTCAGAAGAGTCTCCACAGTATTACAGACCGTTCATACCTTAAAGTATTACTATTGGGTTGTTAATCCCCGAGCCAAAAGTGGAATAACACCCAAGGGACTAGATGGGCCTCGGCCTGCACAGAAAGATGTTCTTGCAATAAGAGCATATGTACTCCTATTCTTGAAACAGCTCATAATGATAGGAAACGGTGTAAAGGATGATGAACTTCAAAGTATTTTGAACTACTTAACAACAATGCATGAGGTATAGCACATTATTACAGTTCTCAGGTATCGTACAATTCTTAGTTTGCTGATTGAAATTTTTTGTCCTTTACCGAATTTATTTTTTCAGGATGAAAATCTTCATGATGTTCTTCAAATGCTTATATCATTAATGTCTGAACATCCCTCCTCACTTGTGCCAGCCTTTGATGTAAAACAGGGTGTTCGCACTATTTTTAAATTACTTGCTTCAGAGAGCCAACTTATTCGCTTGCAAGCTTTAAAACTCCTTGGTTTCTTTTTAAGCCGCAGTACACACAAGTATGTTATGAAATTTGATATTGTTGAGGTAGCCGGGTATTCGGCCAGATTTCTATCCAACTATACCTACTAATGTCTTTGGTCATTTTTATAGGAGGAAGTATGATGTGATGAGTCCACATAATTTGTACACTCTACTTGCTGAACGGTTACTTCTGAATGAACAGACTCTAGGGCTGGCTACTTATAATGTCCTTTATGAGGTAAGATTGTCATAATTGTATCTTCAATAAAACAGTTATTTTTACTGTGATTCTTAATCTAATTTGTTTTAATTATTCAGATAATGACTGAACATATAAGCCAACAAATTCTATATACAAGGCATCCAGAGCCGGAGTCACACTACCGGCTTGAAAATCCAAGTATGATGAATTATAAATTCAGTTTTTGTTCATTTAATTTTGGGAAGGCATTTCTATTAATTTTTTTGTTTTTTGTGTCCTAGTGATTCTTAAGGTTGTTGCTACTTTGATCAGACAATCAAAACCAACTGATCAACTTTTAGAGGTGAAGAAATTATTTCTTTCAGATATGACACTTCTCTGTAATAACAATCGAGAAAATAGGAGAACTGTTCTCCAAATGTCTGTTTGGCAGGTCAGTTAAAAAAATCATCTTATTGCTCCCATTTTATTTTTTAACTTTTATGGTAACATTTTTAACTTTTTTCTCTTAATTTTTAAGGAATGGTTGATTGCTATGGCATACATTCATCCTAAAACTGCAGAGGAACAGAAGATATCTGACATGGTTTATATTTTATTCCGAATGCTCTTGCACCATGCCATTAAACATGAATATGGTGGGTGGAGAGTGTGGGTTGACACTCTTGCAATAGTTCATTCCAAGGTTCGTCCACTAAGATGTGAAATTACATTGTTGATCATAATATTGTTCAATTTACTCTTACTTTCATGGAATCTTATTGTTTCAGGTTTCTTATGAAGAGTTTAAGCTACAGTTTGCTCAAATGTACGAACATTATGAGCGTCAGCGCTCTGACAACATAACTGACCCAGCCCTTCGACAGCAACGACCCATCAGCACAATATCTGGGTGGGACCAACAGCAACAGGGTCATCATCCAGGTTCACAACGTGCTATTGCTCATGCGGAGGGCCAGACTAATGGCTATCATGACTGGCACAATGGTGAAACAGATCATTCTCAAGTAAGAATTACAGGTTTCCTATTAAGAGGGTTTAACTGCAAAAACCAGAAAAAATATTGAATTTGCATTTTCTTTCTTTTTTTGCTACAGGAAATTGAGGATCAGCAACAATCTACACCTGTCTGCAGTTGTGAACTGGATTCTGAAAATTCTGACACACCTGCTGGTAATTGTCCAGAGGGTACATGTTATGCTGTGGTATCTGCTGAGTCCAAAGAGGCTGGTACTCTTGCTAGCTCATGTCAAGAAGAGGCCTCATGGTCTGCAACACCTGAGCCAGTGGCAGATATACCCTCCGATTCTGTGCTAATTGATTCACAAACACCTCATGTTGAAGAAGTTTGTGATCAAGCAGACAAATTTACAACAAGTGAAAGTGATCCAAGGACTTTATGTGAATCGCAGCCTTCTCCTGTCAAAAGTAACAGTGTTAAGTCATCTCCTATTCGGTTAGCATCAACTCCCTCACCAAACAGTCCAGAAAAGACTGAATCTTCAGAAACTGAAGCCACTAATTGCTCAAGTAGTACAATCGTTAAGGACATGGACATCAAGGATGGTGAAATGGGGACACAATGTACTGAAGAAAGTATTATTTGCTCAAGTCCAGGCAAAGAGAGTTTAAAAGAAGTGGCAAACGATTCTACTGTTAGTTCGCCGGAAGTTTCCAAACCAGAGGTTGAACTTGAAAATGATAATGGTGATGATGAGGAAGATGAAGAAGAAATCATTTGTAGGCTTGGTGAAGAGACATCATCTATGCATTCTGCCACTGAAGAGTTATCTAGCCCTTCACCATCCCACAACAAAGTTAGTGAATCTCCTGAGAAGTCTAAACCTTTGGATATCAGGTCACTTGTCAAAGCTGAAGAAGATAGCGATTCCATCGTAACTCCTGAATCTCACGAGGAGTTTAGTCCTGTTACCCCACCACATGCTACCTCTGAAACTTTAGTTAGCACTGATGAGACATCAGTCCCAAACGTTTTGTCACTGAGTACTGTCAGCGACAGTGTGCCTTCTGATTCTGGGGTATCTGTAGTCACCCCAACAACTGAGGATGTGTCAACTCCTGGTGACACTGACACTGGTATGTTCATATCTCACCACTATGTAGTTTAATATTTTTTTTACCTTTAATATGCATAAGGGTTTTGCATTTTATTATCATTACTATTTTTATTAACTTTTGAAAAAAATCTTTCCTTTTTAGCATCTGAGGCACGCCGGTTAGATTTGAGCGAATCAGAGGCCTTGCCCACATCAGTCTTAAGTGAAGAAACTTTACCAACAGATACTTCCTCTGATTCAACTACCATAGCAGAACCTGAAATTGTAGTAACCGAACTTTGTCAACCTATTGCTTCTGACGCCACACAGGAAACTGAAACAACTCCAGAAGTGTCTCCTATTGAAGATGTGTCTTCAGACCTTCCATCACCTGTAGAGACAATATCTTCTTTAGTTGATGCTGGCTCACCAAAACATGCGGAGGTTGAGCAGGACACATCAGCACCTATTTCCAGTTTCTCACCTGACAATGAAGGAAATTTTGTTACTGCTATTGAAAATCAAGACCACAATTCAATTCAACCACCTGACATTTCAGATGTGGTACATGAAGATCGTTTGAAATTAATTTCTGAAAATGGCATTGAAGTGATACCACATGAAGAGAATGCTAATGTAGTTATTTCTCAAGATTCTTCTGTTCTTGAGGACATTGGACTCAACCAGGGTGATGAAGGAGGAGAAATCAAGTCCTCTCCTCAGAAAAGACCACAAAGCACCTCAACTGCTACTCAAGTGGAACACTCACACTTTGGTAAATTTTCTTGATAAGTGATTCTCAATCAGTTTTAATATACTAAATGTCGGACTCTAATTAGTATGTGGTTGACATTTCTGACAGTTCATATCTTGGCTCTCATTTCAGATTCAAAACAAACCAAAGATGAGAATGCTACTGCAGAGCAGGGGGGAGCAAATGGTGCACAAGGAAGACCAATGTTTAGTCCTGGTCCATCAAGACCTCCATTCAGAATACCTGAATTCAAATGGTCTTACATACACCAGAGACTTCTTTCTGATGTTTTATTTTCTCTAGAGACTGACATACAAGTGTGGAGAAGGTACATTCTAAATTTAGCTGACTCTTTTAAATACTGTAAATAAATGTGATTGATTTTGTTTTCAAAATATAATGTTATGGTACTGTCTATTTTCAGTCATTCAACAAAGTCAGTATTAGATTTTGTAAACAGTGGAGAGAATCAAATTTTTGTGGTGAATACTGTTCACTTAATTTCACAACTAGCTGACAATCTTATCATAGCTTGTGGAGGACTACTTCCTCTCTTAGCATCTGCAACTTCTCCAAATGTAGGTGCCTTTTTAAAAAGTGTTATCCTCTAAGTCTCTATGATCACATTCATACTAACTAAATTAAACTTGATTTGTTTAAATATTGAATTGGAACTATTTTATCTTTCAGAGTGAGCTAGAAGTCATAGAACCTACTCAAGGAATGCCAATTGAAGTTGCAGTATCATTTCTGCAACGTCTTGTGAACATGGCAGATGTTCTCATTTTTGCTAGCTCTTTAAATTTTGGTGAACTTGAGGCGGAAAAGAACATGTCAAGTGGTGGTATTTTACGGCAGTGCCTGCGACTGGTTTGTATCCCCCTTTTGCTTTCTTTACATTTTTTATGTTTCTGTTTTTCTGTTTGTTCTTTTAAATTATTATGCCAAGTTAAAATTGAATTTTGTACCAATCCTGTAGGTTTGCACCTGTGCAGTACGTAACTGCCTAGAATGTAAAGAAAGAAGCCGTCCATTCTTCAATGCAGCTTCTACCCCTGTTTTCAATGCCAACAATAAAAATGTGCACATCCAATCACTAATTAGGGGTGTTCAGACCTCACCCAAAGTAAGTCAACTATGCAACAAGCAGTTCTCCTGAATCTCATAATAAATTTTTCTGAAATTTCATTACAATAATTTTCATTCTAACTTCCAGCAGAATATTGTTGAAAACTTATCCAATCAGTCAAGTCCTGTTAAAGATCCAGAAAAGCTCCTTCAAGATATGGATGTCAACCGCCTGAGAGCGGTAATTTATCGTGATGTGGTGAGTTGTGATGAGAGTTTCATTAATAACTACAACTAGTTTTCCAGAATATCTTACTCTATGGTTTGACATGAAACTGTTTGTTTTAGGAGGAAACAAAACAAGCTCAATTTTTGTCCTTGGCTATTGTCTACTTCATCTCAGTTTTAATGGTTTCGAAGTACCGAGATATCTTAGAGCCACCATTAATTGCAAGGGTTCCAAGTCCGCCAACCCCTGTGCCTCGCAGCAATGGAACATCTCAGCATAGCAACAGTCCTCCTGGTATGTAGCATTTTTTTTCAAAACTCTCACATTTGTTTTTGTCTATGTGCAAATTCACATTTGTACAGATCATTTACAGTAGATGTAACACAGATGCACCTCTGGCAATGGCCTTCTTAATTCAAGGAGAAAAGTGGGTTTTATTTCAGGAGAATTTTGTTCGTGATTCACTGTCCTGTTGATTCTTTTAAACTACTTCATCAGATGTTTAGATGAGGTTTAGCTACAGCAGGTGCACATTAGCTCACAGATTTAATGTTCTAGTAAAATGCACTGGTGCACATGTATTGTACTGTGTGCTCCGATCTCACAAGTTACTACCTTTAACCTAGACGTTATTTAAATATTTCGTTTGGGCAAATTTTAGCACGTGTACTTCTGTACTTGCCTGAGTTTGGGTAGCTCCCCATAAAAAAGTACTGTAATTGCACAGGTAAAAAATGGCGTGAGAAAATTAGTCACCTCTCAAAAGATTTTGTTTTACACTAAACGAAAATTTTGCTGAAAAGGGTTCGGTTCTGTGTAATAATCTGTCAACCATTATGATAATCTGATAAAAAATTCATTGGTTTTCTTTCATGCTGGCTGTCTAGAAGGAGGAGCTAGACCTTTGTTTCCGCAATGGTCACACCACGTTTACCCCCAGTTCCTTCCTGGCTCCCATCCTGATGCTTCCCCCCCTCAAAATGCCAACACCAATGCAATGCCCCCCCAGAACATAAATATAAACCATAACGCCCACCATCAACAATCGCAACAGCGGAATCACCAACTTATTAGAAATCACATCAACAACAAGCTTGATCAGGCAGCACCTCAGCTGCGCTTCCGTAGAAATATGGCGAAGCCAGGTAATAGAAATGTATCTGGTGTGAGCATGCCTCATCGTTTTTTGAAATGCTAGGATTTTGTTCACGCAATTTTATCCTTACAAGAAATTTCACCACCTTTCTTTTTTGTAGTACTTCAATGTTGTGTAGAAGACAACGAAAAAATTGCAATAAAAAAATGCTTATTGTTATGTAGGTACTTACAAAACTTTAGTTTAGCTCCATTTAGTATTTTGCTTTTTTTTAAACTATTCTAGTAAGCATGAATTCTTTGAAGCTGTATAATATGTAGCAAACTGCTCAGAAGCCATGCTATAGCACACAGGGAGCCAAAACTAGTTGAGGCTAGTTCAACTTGGAACGTCTAGCGGAGGAGATTGGTGCATTGCTAATATATTCATACTTTGTTTCTATTATTTTAAATGATTTCTCTTTGCTAAATATGAAATGATAAAATTTTTCCCTGACCACCCAACTTTCAGAAGTAACACTCCTCACTTCATCATTCATTTCTATCCATTTTCAGCTTATGATGATTTTCATTATTTTTTCTTTGCAGGCTTGCTGATCATGCATGAATTCTGTTAGATTCCATTCATTGATTGACATTCATTACGTAATTGCATTAATTGTTTTTTTGTTTGCTATTTCAGTTTACATTTCTATTCTACAGCTCTCTCTCCATAAAGCTCTGTGTAAGAGAATGTCCCTACACCCAATTATCTAGAGTTCTCTAATGTTCTGTCCTAAGCATTAATTATAAATTCAATACGTATGTAATTATTTTATTTTTAGCAGACTGCTCACAGTAGTTCTAATGTAGGAAACTCTTTCCTTCTTGGTGGTATTTAAATTAATAATGAAACCCCTACAAGTTACATAGCATCGTAGAAAAACTTAAAACATAAATTTAGGTGATGTAGGTTTACAATTAGAAATAAAAAAACCTTTAACTCTTGTTATTCATTTGGCAAATGATTAGACTCATAAGCCTCAGTTATAATTTATTTAGATTTACCGTAGTGTATATTTTTAATGCAACTATAATTCAAGTTTTTCTTCATCCCTGTGTTGTTTTTCATTATGTTTCTCACCCTGTATGATAACTTTGAACCTTAGCTTCCTTATGTTAAACCCCCACGGTGCCAAGAGTGCAGTAGACTGCATAATGCAGGAGAGGAGTTAATATGATTCTATTTTTTAATTTCAGCTCAACACAGGTCTTTGTGTTCTCATGAAGACGGTGAGTATGATGTCATAGTGGTTGATGAGAACAACTCTTCAGTTCTTGCGGATCACGACTCTCACTCCAGTGGACCAACTTCTCTAAAGGCAAGTACAACTTAACTTAGATCTGCTGGTTCTTTTTTTTGTGTTCTTTGCATACTTTTTTCATTGGGATGTTTGAAATCTAGATGAAATGTTGTTATCGACTGAGTATTACCCTAACTTTCAATGAACTTTCAACCTCCTATATTTCATCTCATATTTTGATATTGAGTTTCATTTTGATCTAACTTTTAGATTTTAGCAACTTTAATGTAGCGACAATCATACTAGAGATTGTGGTCTCGCGTTTGCTATGAAGTCATGTAGATTGTTTAGATGTACTGTTGGAAATTGTCTGTTTTCATAAGATATTATCTTAAGAGTGGTTTCTGGCCCGTATCAGTCTCAAATCCTGTAAAGATTTATGTAGAAATGTAACACTTTGAGTATATCGGCATGCAGTTGTGAGACCTTCCTATGTTTGGAGGAGTAACTCTGTTCATTAGATACCTCTCTACTCACATCTGCAGAACGCTAGATGCCCTCATTCTGTGATTACTAGCATGCTCTGTCTCTCTCTTCGCATGTTGGTCTATTTCCTGTCATACTCCTGAATGATTGGGTTTTCTCTATCCTGACCAAAATCGCATGTCCCAGCAGTTTAACTTTCCAGTACCATTTTTGGTTTAACATAAGCTCTACTTTGGTCAAAATTAGGTGGAAAATAAATTGCAGATAATTATTAAGCATGTAAACTCCAACTTTGTGGTCTATTTTCTATTTGGGCTGGTGCTGCTTTTTACTGTGAAATCTCATGGTGTTGGTCTTTGTGTCTGTCTGCTGCCTGCCAACATTCATACACCTATAGGCTAACGAACGGAACCATGTAACAACTACATGCCAAACTAGTTATCCGCAAGGTGCTACCATTTATCCTGCATCAAATAATGCAGCACAATCTGCTCAACGTGCCTCTCAAAGACAACAGCCAACGATGATCTGCAAGGTATGACAGATAAAAAAACAAAACAAAGGTCTGATCAGAGAATTAAATTTGTGAGAGCCACTATCTACTGTACAACCGGCACAGCTAAAATTAATCTGTCCAACTATTAACTTTTTAACTTACTTATAAAGAAATTTTATGTACTGTGTATATAGGTATTCCTATTGCTAGTACAAGCACTACCATACTACCATCTACTATGCGTCATTTTGAGTAGTTCAAATTTGCTGTTTTATTTTGATAGGCCTACCAATTGTTTTAAAATGCATTAGATATTTATAATTCAATTTGATGGTATTATAAGGTTGGCTAATTTTTTTTAGTAAAGTTTAGCTTGTAATATTTTGAGTGTCAGATTAAATATTGTGCATGCTACAGTACAGAGTAATTTTTTCTTTTTTCCTTGTCAACATTTTAGTCTAAACAAATCAGTTGATTCAGGTCGAGCAGATGTATTCTTTGTTCTCAATGAGCCTGTTCAACTGACTGCCAACAATTCGCTAAATTTGCACATACCCACAAAATATCCTCATTTTTCAAAATATTAATTTCATTCCCTGCCTTGAGTGTCTAGCAAAGTATAGTTTCTGGTTTTGCTTCTTAATTGTCTCTGTCTTTTCCGATAACTAATTGGCGTACGTAGTTGGTTCGGTCAGTAAACACTTGGTAACTTCAGGCTCACACTAAGCTTTTTTTCCTTTTTATAAATTATTTTACAGAGTGCTGCTTCAACGGAAGATATAAATGCCCCTCACTCAGCTGTCGTTACGGTGGAAAACGCCGAGTATAACCAAACTATTACACCTCAATCAAATGATGAAATAATACAGAACAATAATGAAGAACCAACAACCAAGAATGTTGGTGAGTGAAAAAACACAATTATTCTTATTTGTTTACTCCCTCCGCATAGGAGAATAGACACCATCAATTTTGATATTTTTAGGAATGGGAGTTGGAATGGAGGACAACGACGACAGCTGGACTGATGTCAACCTGAATGAAGATGGAGACCTAGTGGCCACTGCTCGTATCAAGGGCAGGGCGGAAGAAAACAGGAATCTGCATAACATTTCACAGTCGCAAGTACCGACGCTCGACGGCGAGGGTGGCATGGAGAGGGGTGAGAAGCCTGCCGGCGAGATCTCCGTCGTCCGCGTCCCTGCCGAGGCCAGCCCGTGCGTCGTGCCGGGCCCCGGCCTCGGCCAAGCCCCCCAGCAGCCGAGCCAGGGCCAGGGCGCGCAACAACACGCGCCCGGCGCGCACCCGCAGGCCTCGGCCCTGCCGCCGCCGTCGCGCCCCGAGGAGCTGCCCATGAAGGGCCTGGAGACGGTGCCGCTCCCGCTGCCTCTCGCCACGCCCTCGCGCGAGGCTTCCCTCACCCAGAAGCTCGAGTCGGCGCTCGGCTCCGTGTGCCCCCTGCTGCGCGAGATCATGGTGGACTTCGCCCCCTTCTTGTCCAAGACGCTGGTCGGCTCGCACGGCCAGGAGCTGCTCATGGAGGGCAAGGGGCTGACCACCTTCAAGAACAGCCAGTCCGTCGTGGAGCTCGTCATGCTGCTCTGCTCGCAAGAGTGGCAGAACTCGCTGCAGAAGCACGCCGGCCTGGCCTTCATTGAGCTCATCAACGAGGGCCGCCTGCTGTCGCACGCCATGAAGGACCACATCGTGCGCGTGGCCAACGAGGCCGAGTTCATCCTGAACCGGATGCGCGCCGACGACGTCCTCAAGCACGCCGACTTCGAGTCGCAGTGCGCGCAGACGCTGCTGGAGCGGCGCGAGGAGGAGCGCATGTGCGACCACCTCATCACGGCAGCGCGCCGCAGGGACAACGTGATCGCGTGCCGCCTGCTGGAGAAGACGCGCAACATCCTCTCCAACAAGCACGGCGCGTGGGGCTACATGGACCCGCAGGGCGCCATGCTCAGCGAGTTCTGGAAGCTGGACTCGTGGGAGGACGACGCGCGGCGCCGGAAGCGCTTCGTGCACAACCCGCGCGGCTCCAGCCACCCGGAGGCGACGCTCAAGGCCGCCCTGGAGCACGGCGCGCCCGAGGACGCCATCCTGCAGGCGCGCGAGGAGTTCCACGCGCACCTGGCCGCGTCCAGGACGTGCTCGCAGCAGCAGCAGCAGGTGCAGCACGCCGACCTCCTCGACGACAGCGAGCTGCTCGCCGACGACCGGGACCTGGACGTGGACCTGACTGGTGAGTCCTCTACCCCCTCTCTCTGGACTCTTTGCTGTAGCACCTGGTGTCAATGCCGTCTCTCCTCATCGCCAGGCCCCGTCAACATCAGCACGCGCGCCAAGCTGGTGGCGCCGGGCATCGTGGCGCCGGGCACCGTGTCCATCACGTCAACGGAGCTCTACTTCGAGGTGGACGAGGAGGACCCCGAGTACAAGAAGCTCGACACTGAGGTGAGTACTCTGTGCCGCCGCTCTGAGAGCGCCGCGCTCGTAGGCAACCCTTCCGGCACGGCCGGGCGGGCAGGCAACCCCTCCGTCTCGGGCGGCAGCGTGCAGCATAGGGCGGGGTGAAGGAAGACGAAATGGAGCGCGAGTTGATGGGTCAGGCCATGCTACTTTGTGGCCGGGGCGGGCCGGGAGGCAGCCGTTGATGAATGGTGCAGTCCTTACCGCCGACACGACAGGCCGGCGCGGCGCTCATTGATAACCTGCCCCCGCTGCCCCCGCTGCCCCCGCTGCCCCCGCTGCCCGGGCTGCACGCGAGCCGGCCCGGCCCGGGGAGCTTGCTGATTGAGCAGCCGGCCGCGGGGCGCCCGACATGGAGGCCCCCCGATGCGCCCGTGCTCCGGGGCCCTGTACTGCGCCGTGCCCGGCTGTGGGCCCCGAGGAGGGCGGCCGCCAGCCCCCAGCGGGGACCTCCACAGGGCTCCCGGGGCGCGCGCAGCCCGGCGTGCAGCGGACCGGGTCAGGCCGATGGCAAAAGTCGGCGCTGTCAGCTCCCTAATCGATCGCTACCGGCGATCCCCACCTGTCGGCGTTGGCCGTGCCAGAGCTCGCCGCCGGGCCGGGCCGAGCCGGACCGCGGGGAGCAGGGAGCGAGGGCTCCTTGGCGGACGCGGACCTTGCGACTTTGCCGATCGCCGGGTGTTGCGGTATGCATTGTGTCTTTGCAACTCTCTCCATTGGCTGGCCGTTGTCCATCGTTTGGTGGTCCAGCGGCTACGAGATAGGGAAGGGCGGGAAGGCGCCGCGCGAGGCACGGGGGAGGCGAGAGCAGCTGTGACAGCTGACAGCGCGGCTGCAGAGAGTGGGAGGAGACTCTCCGTGGTCACGGTCGGTGCTCGGTCAGCGCGGGAGATCATTGGCCCGTCCCGTCAGGTGGCTCACTTGTGGGTACACGTACACAGTGCGGTGCCGTACGTGCCAGGGCCGCGCCCACAAACCTTTTCTGCCTATTAGTTTATTTATTTATACATTTATTTCAAAGACGAGAGACACATCTCTCCTCATACCGGGTTAATCACACAGTTTCCCAGGCCTTTGCGCCGCTGGCCCGGGCCGCGCAGGCCGCGCTCCGCCCGAGCCTCATCGTATGCCTTCGTAATTATGTTTGTTTAGCGGCCGGGCGCGCGGACAGTTACACCGCTAGGAAACGGGGACTCGCGCTGCTGGAGGCGCGCCAACGCTCGCGACGGACAACTCCGCTGTCTCCTCCAGAGGACGAGGACGCGACCAACACGCGCTCTGCAAAATTATCGTTGAGCCGCGCGATCGCGTTTTTGATTACCGATATAGAGGGGCGGGGACTGCCGGGAGAGATAGATAGAGAGATAGAGAGAGAGAGTTGAAGGTGTGCGGGAGGGATAGAC